ATATATATATATATATATAGGGTGCAACAATTTCATTTTGTCTTGTTATTGTTGTTGTTATTTTAGTAGATTATAATTTTGGTCAATCTGATTTACATCCATCTGTAGTTTTAGTCTGACTTTTCAATATGTGGCATGACTCATCCTTGAGGTTTCAAAAGTTGTATGTGTGGTAAATTTAACTCGGTCAATTCCTATCTGTTAAATGTTTGTAAAATGACTATTATACCATGTTTTAGTTTCTATGTTTTTTGATACAACAGATATTATTTAATTTTGATGAATACTCTAGGGAAATATCAAAAAAAAGTTCTAATATATTACCCGAATTTACGAAAAAATTTCTAAACTAAAATTTATTTATGAAAAAGCATGAATTACTGGTAAAAAAGATTATTTGACCCATTTTTCCCGGTTTACCGGTTCCAATACTTACATGGATCCACTAAAGTCTCATTATTTTTACTCTAATTTACGAATAAGTCACAAATAAAAATTTAGTGATGAGTTGCCATTTTCTCCTTATAACATACATTTTACCAGTTTCATTAAATGAGCTGATGGGATGGATATGTTAAGTTATATAATGTTATGTTTACCATAAAACTTGATATCCTGATGTATTGTATATTTTTTGGAATATAAAATGCATTCAACAAAGACTGCAATAATTACATAAACTAGTAGCAACTTTATCTTTTTTTAAGTTTATAAGAAATTCAACTTGTTTATCTAATCTTATCTAACCTACTATGTCCATCTCATCAGACATCAGCTCATTTCCAAATTTTTTGTTCCGGAAACACATATTTTACTGGTTTCATTATTGACCTAGATACATATTCATAAATGAGCCGATGAGATGGATATCAAATTTTACGATAAACATAACATTATGTAACCCATCGTATCCATCTTATCATCTCATTTGATGACTAGATGTACATGTTAGTAATGAAACCGGTAAAATATATGTTATATAGAGAAAATTGTCAAATCACTACTAAATTTTAGTTGAGACTTATTCATAAATTAGAGTAAAATAATAGAATTTTAGTGGAACCAAGTAAGTAATGAAATCATTAAACCGGGAAAATTGGTCAAATCATTATTTTTACCCATAATTTATGTTTTTACGTAAACAAATTTAATTTAAAACTTTTTCATAAATTAAGAAAAAAATATTATGACTTTTTCTGAAGATTTCAAGATAATCTAACTAACTGTACATACTACTTTCATCTCCTATTGTAAGCATATTTACTTTTAAACTCGAAGCGAAAAAAATAAATAAATAAAATAAAAGCAAACAATTAAAATTGATTAAACTATTTTGTGACAATTCACCGATAAAAGTACATCATGGGCGTACACTCATCATCAGGAACAAAAAGCCCATTAAAATAATGAAGATCAAACGCAGTAATATATAGATTTTCCATTCAAAAATGCTTAGCGGCGCAGCTTGTTGCCTGTTTGTCATCTCACTCATTGTACGATGACAATTAAATACTATATGTATCCCGAAATGTTTGCAATCTGCAATGGATCAAACAATGATCAATGATTTCTTTGACTAACACCGATTTTAATATCAAATTTCTTAATAGGAGAACCATAGACACATCCCTTTATCCATTCCATCCAAACTCCATTTATTTAAGTCTTTTTCTTTACCTTCTTCGTCCAAGAAGCAATTTCACTAAGGGGCTGTTTGGTAGCCTCTTAATTGAAAAATTAAGAGGCAACCTCTTAAAAGTTCAGATTTAGAGTGTTTGGTTGAATCTTATTTTTTTGTCTCTTAATCTTAAAATGCCTCTTAATCTTTCAGATATAAGATTGTATCTAAAAAGAAAAATGAAAGGCGCGTTCCTATTTTACCCCACACATGTTCCTCCTCTTTTCTATTTCACGATACGGCTTCCCCCAAGCAACCCACCGGTCACCGCCTCCACCGCCTGCCCTCCGGTCCGGTCACCGCCGCCATCCCCTTTGCATCTAGCTCCGTCAAAACTCGAAGACAACATCATCAGGTAAGGTTTATCCTAAAATCGATTTTATGTAATCGATTTAAGAACTCTGTTTCTTCCTTCCTTTGTCGGCGAAGCTAGACCCATAACCTCCTCCCATAGTCGATGTCTTTTCCACCATAGTTGTCTTCGCTTCCGTCTTCCCCACAACCACTGCCCTGGAGAAATCAATTTCTAGGTTTGACATTTGCAATCGATTTCCAGGTTTGACGTTCGTTTCTCTATAAATCAGATGTTTTGAAATAAATTATGATATCTTGCGTTATTGATTATGTGAATAACATCATGATTTTGATTTTGGATTCAAAGTTTCTGATTTTTTTGGTGCTCTCTTTGATTGAATTGATTATGTAAATAACATTAATAACATAATGTTGTTAATTTCATTATAAATTCCATCAGATGCTTTGCACTCAAAGCTGTCGACAGAATTGATGAACATCTGCTCTGAATATGAAGCAATTAGGAGATTGGGTTTGACCATTTTAAAAGGTGTGAGAAATGTTCTTTTTTCTGTTATTTTATGAACATCTGCTCTGAGAATTTTTTTTTCTTTTTTGTGCTATTTTATGCAAGATTGGTTGCAGATAATTAGTTTGCTTCTTTTTCCTCTTTTGTTTGTTGTGAATTTATAAATTTAAACTTATGATTGATTATATTGTGGCTTGGGAATCTGAGATTGAGCAGCTGAATATGGAACACTTGCAAGTACATATATGCTAAAAGATCATTATGGATTTCAAGGGTTTGACGTTCATTTCTAGCATCCTACTTTCAAGGAAAGATCATTTATTATGTTTTGATGGTAAATGGCAGGTTTTGAGTGTTTTCAAGAAGTTGAAGGATAGTTGATAGTGTTTAGATTTGTTTTGATGATTGTTTAGATTTGTATAGATTGTTTATATTATTATTTTTTATAATTATTTTAGAAGTTTTTAACTCAATTATTTTGATAATTTTGTAACAAAAGTATTGAATTTAAAAATAATAATAATAATAAAAGAAGGATGAAATAGTCATTTTAAAAAAAATCATCCAACATATTTGTATCTTCGCGTAAACGCGTATATAAACCAAAGCTTCATTATTGGTACCTGACGGACAGACACTAATAACAGCAACGGAGCATCATTTGACACGTGTCCATACTCGTGATGTGGTGACTCCATGATCTGTCCTTCATTTCCAATATTCAACTATGTTGTCACCCATAATAACGTATAAGTCTATAATGGATAGATATGTGGTTTTTACTTTTTAGTAACTTGAAGACAAAAAAAACCTCAACAATAATCGTTTAAGTTGATTATAACTTTAATAAAAATATATGGTATCAATAAAACATTTCAACATTGCTTTAATAATAAATTCTTAAAAAAAACATATATTCTTAAATTAAAACTACAATTTTAAATTTATCAATTAAAATTACATATTTTAAAGAACTTTAATGTTTACTGAATAACAACTGTTACATAAACTATCCATTATTGGTCAGTAGATATCCCGTATATATTAATTAAGTCATTTATTAGGTGCATATTCAAAATTATATGTTATATTAAATAAAAAAAATATTCTTTTTAATTTATATTTTTAAAAAATTTCTAGTTTTATCCTTTTTACCAACCTTTTCAGCACTATAAATACCGGCTCATATTCCACAAATTACACACACCGAATCACCCATATTTTCTCCTACTTTTTGCATTTATATTTGTAACTAAAAAGATGAAGTCATTTGTTGCAACCTTCACAATCATGGGACTTGTAATCTTGAGTTCATCTCTCCTTCAAATCACCATGGCTGATTCAAGTAAGATATACATGGTTCCTTTTTAACTTCTTTTCAAAGCATTAATTAGATTTAGATCGATGTGTGTACTTTATCATATGCATTTGAGTTTGTAAATACCAAATATTGTAGGTTTTTGTGACTCCAAGTGTGCAATGAGATGCTCGAAGGCAGGGTTACAAGATAGATGTTTAAAATATTGTGGGATATGTTGTCAAGAGTGTAACTGTGTGCCTTCTGGGACGTACGGACACAAAGACCAATGTCCTTGTTATAGGGACAAGAAGAACTCTAAAGGCCAGCCGAAATGCCCTTAATACCCTTATCACGGGCCATGAAAAATTCTAATGAGTGGATTAGAATTTAGAATGCCACTATTATATATTTCTTATTCATCATCATATGATCTATATTGAATTATGTGTACTCATGAATAAAAATTTATGTAAAAAAGAAAGATATGCATTTGTATACCCATGTTTTGAATTTAATGAGTTGGTGGATATGATGATTTTGTATGAAAAAATAAAAGAAAAGAAATTAAAAATGATAGAAAATTAGAAATTATAAAAGTAAAAGAAATCTTGAAGCATAGGGAAAAAAGACGTAAAGGTTCACATGCTTTTGTTTGGAAGGAATAATAATAAGTTAATAACAACAAATACTTACCATAAAGCGTGAAGTTTTACCCGAATATATTTACTTCCAAGGCGTGAAGGGTGTCCCGTTGCTACATTTTATACGGACTATTGAAATGGACGTATGATCCAATATTATTTTTAGTGCAGAAAATAGTATAAATTTACTTCAATCTAATATTGTTTTTCTATATCAAATTTAGCGTTATAAATATAGAGTAAATTATTGAAATCGGTAGTGTTGTTTGGCCGAAATTGCACGTTTAGTCTAAATATTCTTTTTAACACTTCGACCATCTTTATGATATTTTTTTTTGCGACTTTCGTTCCTTGTAACAAGGAAATGACCATGTTGACGTTTTTTTTTTCTTCTAATTTATTTATGATTTTTTTTATAATTTATAAATTAGAATAGAAAATGGAATTCCGGAGTATATTACTTAATTGGATAGAATAATTAGATTTTAGGTTAAGATTTTAAGTAATATGATGACCATACACTTTAACCTCACAATCTCCACATCGATTACCCCAAAATAGATATTAAAACTTACCACGGATTTTGTCCACAACGTGTTATAGCAGGGGTAATCCATTTTGTAAGTTTAACTTTAATGATTGTATTTGTAAATGTTAAATATTATTGTCTTTTATTGGTAGATAAATAGACAAGGTCGTTATCATTGACTAACTCCAACTTATACCACTTTATGAAAACTTATTATATGTGACCAAAATCATGCGTAGGGAACATATAGAAAAATAAGCATTCAATGTAAAATGATTGAAATAAGAGAAGTAAGATTTTTTTTAAGGTAACGAACGGAAGTTCAAATAATTAAAAATGTATTATATAAGACCTGACTCATACATAGGAAACGTACATAAAAATAAGTACGAAAATGTAAAAAAAAATTACATAGAAACAAAAACAAACTCGAATTTATACTGACACGTACATAAAAACAAGTATATTTAAAAAAATTAACGAATAAAGTTCTAAATTTACGTCGAAAAGTTGACCACCTCGAATTTATACTAACACATACATAAAAATAAGTATATAAAAAGTTAACCTTTTTTAAGTTAACGAATGAAAGTTATTAAGGAAAATCAGATTATGTATACTACTACAGATAAACAGAAAAGTTTACAAAATGGAAATGTGGGTGGAAATATCCACTAACATTGCCTATTACTAGTTACATGTCCGTCGCGGGTTGCAGCGGGACCACTCCGTTTCATAAATTGAATTTTGATGATTGTATTGATAAAAATAAGTATCTTTGTATTTGTTGGTAGATAAAAAGATAATAGGTCGGTACTATTAACTAACTTCAATTTACGCCGTTGAATGAAAATGTATTATACGTGACCCGACTCATATGTAGTTGTAACGTTCCAAAAATCACGACCAAATTTTTCATTTTTAATTTAAATAAAAACATTGTTTCCACAAAAACTAAGTCAAGAAAACCATAGGTATCAAAATACAATCATCTCAAACATTAAAGTATCACAAAATGCGAAATGATGAAAACTGTCGTGGAGAGTGTACAGTTAAGCCTTCGCCTTGCCACGATCATTTGAAGTATCTGAAACACATTTAAATCAACAACTGTAAGTACGAAGCTTGGTGAGTTCCTCAAAATATCACATACAACACGTCATAATAAACAGTTATGGGTTATCAGCAGTCCTGATACTATCAACAATCCTACGGGCTCACAGCAATCCTGTGGCTTATCAGCAACCATATGGGTTATCAACACCCCTACAGGCTATCAGCAATCCTGGAGTTATCAACAACTTAATAAACACACATAAACAAACAGTAATTAAGACTTATCTAGTCTAGCATACACCCTACTATGACATAGGTAATATAGTGAGAAGTCTCGCCTCGCAAACAATAGACTATCATAACAACACTATGATAGAGGATACCGGTACTACAAGACACCTAAACACAACATAAGAATACCCTCTTAGTCTACACCCTAAAACTCTTAAGTTGACCAAAGTCAACAATGGTCAAAAGTCAACGGTCAAGGTCGGCCCCAACTGATCGTCACGTCGTGGACACCCGTTGGCTACGTTGTGGTAGCGTTAGGACAAAACAGTTGCAAAGTTGTCCATCGCCATGTCGTGATGGTCCATCCGTCATGTCGTGGGAACTGCTCTGGACAACTTAATGCTTTAAGCTCTTAATCCTTAAGCTAAGTAGTCAAACTTTCTGGAAGGCTTTCTTCATCCTAAAGCATTATAAAAATCATTGCTTTTTAGACATGTATTTCTAATGCATGTATTGAGCACAATTTAGGTCAAATGAAGAAAAATGATATCAAATCTCATGCATGGAACTCATAACTTGATAACTTTCCAGATATGGGACAAGGGGTTACAAATGGACCCTAAGGACTCATAAAGTTGCTAACTTTATGAAATTGCAACACTCAAACCACCTCAAACATGGAGGAAAATAGAAAAAAGCCTAGATCTAACATGCTTGAATAGAAAATGCAGAAACTTAAGGACTTACAAGAGTCCTAAAACAACATAAGATGATGAGGGAGAGGTTTGGTGGCTGAAACAATGCACCAAGAACACCTTCTTCTTGTAACATCTCAAAAACCCATGCTAAAATTTTCAATTTTAAAAATAATATAACATCCTTTTTAACAAAGTTACATTTAGGACAAACCATTTGTTCATAGGCCATTATTCAGAAATCAGAGTTATAATGAAGAAAATATGGAATCTCGAATCATAAAACTGTTGATGTGTGTGTACAGTCATGCCCTCACCGCCCGATAAGTACATGCAAAATAGTTAATCCACAACTGTAAGCACAAAGCTTAATGACTTCCTCAAAATATCTCACACAACACAACATAATAATATGTGACATCCCCATTTTCTCGCCCAGAAAAGACCGATTTGTTTATGCTTTATTTTAAAAATCAGAGTATCATTTTAAAGAAAAGTGTTGCAGAATTTGTTCCCAGAAAAAACACGATAAACATATCATCAAAGCATTTCCGAAGAAATGTATTTTGTTTATATTAAAACTTTGGGATGTCATTGTCAATACAAAAACATAAGCATAAACAGACCTTACATTCATTTACACTAACGATCCACATCTCTTTTAATCTCTCAGTGTAATGTAGCTTCGTATCGACACCTGTGATACAAATAAGCTGAGTGGGTCAGGTTGGGAAACCTAGTGAGTACATAGGGTTTTCAACCCACAATAATAAAGTTATTATGTATTATCATCAAACAATTAACCTAATTACTCATCCCTATTATCTTCTTTATTTCTTAAGGATCTACCCTAAGAATTATCTACCACTCATTCCTAAGGAATAGGAACGAAGTACATCGTTGCCTATGGCGCAGCTGCCAATGTTATCTATTAGGTGCAACTGCCAATATTATCATTTAGGCACAACTGTCAGGACTAAGACATTCTCTATTAGGTGCAGCCGCCGATATTATCCTTTAGGCGCAGCTGCCAGGATATTTAGAGTACATCTGGTAAACACGTAAATCAAAAGCACCTACGGGTTATGGCACAGCTGCCAATATTCATATATATCATCTTTCATCCCTCATTATTTATCTACCCATGTTCAACCCAACACATTCGTAGATATAAAATACATACAGTTTAAATCATTTAAAACATGTATAAATCATTCATCCAACATAGATATCAGGAACACAAATAATATGCACACATAGCACGCAATTTATATTAAATACTTCATATCTATGTGTAAGATGAAAGTAACTATGAACTCATATTAGTAGCGTGATTTGATAGAATCTAACTAGAAATGGTCAGCGGTTCGTCGTTGTCAGGCTCGGGAAGGGAAACGACTTCAGCAAACGAGAGAGAGGAAAGAGGTTTTGGTGTAAAGAATGAAATGGTTGAATTTGATATTTATAGGCTGATTTTGGCTCTCTCACGTCGTGAGCCTCACTTGCTCACGTCGTGAGCTTCCATGAGTCATCCCGTAGACTTCCCAGGTGTTTTCTAGGCTCGATTAATGTCAGTTTTGACTCCTCACATCGTGAGAAATCATGCTCACGTCGTGAGCCTTAAACGTAGACTTGACATCTGTATTCTAGCCTTGAAAAGTGGCGTTTTGACTCCTCACATCGTGAATTTACATGCTCACGTCGTGAGCTCAGTCAAATTAGGGTTTCTGACACGTGTCATGCTCTCAGACAGCTACATCTTCAGAGTGCCATAACTTTTGCATACGAGCTCCATTTTTGACGTTCTTTATATCCACGCGTAAGTAGAGACGTACTCTACAACTTTCATTTAGACCACTAAGGCTAAAAAGTATTTTATCATAAACTCACTTTTTACGATTCCCGGTGTCGTGCCGGTTTTGTCGCGAAACTTCGACATGTCATAACTGCTTCGTTATAACTCGGATTTCGGCGTTCTTTATATGTACGGAAACCTTGTTACATATAATACAACTTAGTTAAGATTATTTATTCTAAATAATAACCTCTATAAAAAATTCATTTTTGACGCTTATCGTCTCTAAATTGATTAGCCCGAATCTGTGGGCGTTACATAATAAACTATAGGTTAATATGAACCCTTGGGACTATCTGCAGTCCCAGTGGGTTAACAACACACTCTGTAGATTAACAGCACACCTCCCGTTTTATCAGCAACCCTAGGGACTATCAGCAGTCCCATTGACT